AATCTTTGGTATGTTATCAGAAGTTAGGTTGCACTTCAAATGAAGGTCTGGTGTGCTGGGGTCCTTTTTATACACACATGGGATTATGTTAATTACAATATTTGTCACAGGTGAACCTCTAATCTGTGATTGGTTGAATCATTAAAAGACATGACAAGACTTTTGTCCTTGCAAAAACAGGTGTTATGGACTTTAACAAGCTGTGAACATCAAGACACTTTTTGACTGTTTCATTTTGCACCCAGTTATTAATGTGAAAGCCCATGGCATTAAATTGATCCATTCATTGTAACAATTGATTGATTAGAAATAACGTTATATGCCTTTTTAAGTTACTATGTCCTTATGTGACAAGACTTTTGTCGATGACTGTACTGTTAGGCAAGTTGTCTATAAATGGAGACAATTCGGTATTGTGGCTACTCTGCCTAGAAGTGGGTGCCCCGCCAAGACGACCTCAAGAGCACAACGCAAAGTCATTATCGAGGTAAAAAAGAACCCTAGAGTGACAGCAAACAACTTGAGGACGTCATTAGAACTGGATAACATCTCTGTTCATGATTCAACAATATGCAACACACTGAACAAGAAAGGAGTCCATGGCAGGACACCAAGGAGGAAGCTATTGCTGTCAAAGAGAACATTGCTGCATACCTGAAGTTTGCAATAGAGCACTTGGACACTCCACAATGGTCCTAGGAAAATGTTTTCTGGAGTGATGAAACCAAAATTTAACAATTTGAGAAGAACAAGCAGAACTTCATTTGGCGTAAAAAGAGCACTGCATATCAATATCAAAACGCTACACTAAAGTATGGTGGAGGGAACATCATGATTTGCTTTGCTGTTTCAGGGCCTGGACAGCTGGCCATCATTGAGGGGAAAATGAATTCCTAAGTTTATCAACCAATTCTCCAGGATAATGTGATGGTGTCTGTCCATCAACTGAAGCTCAGAAGAACCTGGGTGATGCAACAGGACAATGACCCCAAACATCCCAGCAAATCCACAGCACAATGGTTTCAGAAGAACAAAATCCGCATTTTGGAGTGGCCCAGTCAGAGCCCAGATCTCAGTCCTATTGAGATGCTGTGGAATGACTTGCAGAGAGCCATATACAGAAGACAACCAAAGAATATAGAAGAGTTATGGCAGTTCTGTAGGGAAGAATGGGCTAATATCCCCCCTGCATGATGTGCAGGTCTGACCTGCAGTTACAGGAAGCTCCTGGTTGAGGTCATTGCTGCCAAAGGAGAGTCAACCAGTTATTAAATCGAAAGATTCACTTACTTTTTCCACTACCACTGTGAATGTTGAATGCGTTTGTATAATAAAGACATGAAAAAGTAGAATTTTTTGTATATTATTGGTATATATCAGTACATGTGACTTAGATGAAGATCAGATCACTTTTTACGACCAATTCATGCCGAAAACCAGATAATTCCAGAGGGTTCACATACTTTTTACTTTGACTGTATGTATTTACTGATTTTAGAGGAAGAGGCAGCTGTTTATTTCATTAATAACCTTTGTTGTATTAGAAACTGAAATTAACTGCAACTAATTCTGACCACAGGACGACCTGTAAAGATCTGCGAGTCTGTGTTCATCTACATTCTGACTGTCACATTGCTCTTTCTATTTTGGGAGCGGGAACATTTACTTGGTACATATTTGTTTTCCTATAAAATAATTTTTAAACAACCCTTTTATTGAAAAGTTGTTTAAATATTTTGTCTTCCAGAAAATCCGTTTTAAATAAAATGATTTTTTAATTTTTTTAAACAGAGCATTAAAATGTTGAAATTGACGGAAATACCCTATGACAGCTGTTTGACTGTATAAATAGTGTTGTGACACTATTGGTCACTCATTCAACCAAAGAACCAAATCAAAATGTTAATGTAAATTAAACTAGACTCACTGAAGCTTGATTGCTGACAGCCCAGTTGAATCTACACAATAATGAAATATAATCATACCAGTAATGTAGACAATGTGCCTAAATCAAAAGAAGTTCCTGAAGACCTTAGAAAGTTATTGAAATATATCAGTTGGGAAAGGGTACAAAGCACTCTCTAAAACCCTTGGACTCCAGCAAATCACTGCGAGAGCCATCATCTCCAGATGAAAAAACTTGGAAAAATGGCAAATCTGCCCAGGAGTGGCCAGCCTAGTAGAATTATTCAAAGAACACATAGAAAACTAATCAGCGAAGCTGCAGCAGACCACAGACGAAGATCTAAGGAACTGCAGCCCATTCTCAGATCAGTTTATGTCTGATTCCATGATTAGAAAGACACTGGACAATAATGGTGTCTATGGGAGAGATGCAAGGCAGAAATCACAGCTAAATAAGAGGAACATGAGGCTCGTCTAATATTTGCCAAAAAGCACATTGATTACCCCCAACACTTCTGGGAGGATGTTCTGTGGCCTGATGAGTCAAAGTGGAGCTATTTGGAAGACATGGGTCCTGCTACATCTGGGGTAAAGCTAACACAGCTTCCACACAAAGAACATCATGGCCACAGTCAGACATGGTGGAGACAGAGTGATGCTGTGGGGATGCTTTGCTGCTGCACGGCCTGGGCGACTTGCTGTAATTGAGGGATGCATGAATTCAGCTGTTTGCCAGAAAGTACTGAAGGAGAATGTCTGTTATCAGTATGTGATCTGAAGCATAATGTGCTTAAGCAGTAGGACAATGGACCTCATTCACCAATATTTTCTTAAGAATTCTTTTAAATTTGTTCCTACGAAATTTGTTAAGAACAACCTACATCGAATTCATGATGTGTTCTTAAGTAGCAGAATTGTTCGCACCTTTGTTCTTAAGAATGGTGAATCCCAGGTCTTCATAACTGAAAGCGTGTGCCAGTTTGTCCTAATTAGCATAGGGAAACGCCCTGCAATTTCCCATAAAAGGGCATGAGACTGTAGGGCCGTGTGCAAGGAATGGCCGCTTGGCACTAAGAGGAAAAAAAACTTAAGTAGTGCTGAAGTATAAGTATTAATACAGTATAATCGCGTTATAGTGGACTCACTTACAACGGAATATCGTCTTTAACGGACGAGGTCCACTGGTCCCGGCCGTGCGCCTTTAAGAACATGCAGATAAAGCATTGGATATAGAGGAATCTCATATAACGAATTTCGCTTATAATGGACAAACAATTTGGTCCCCAGGGCCGCTTTTAGCTGTAGTTTTGTTCGGCTATAACGGACATGCAGTTCCGCCTACAAGGCGCGTGGTGTGTCGGTGATATCCAGCGGAGATACGTAGTTGGGATTATTAATAGTCAGGTATCTGGTCAGGTAAAGTTGGATTACTACATGTACAATATATAATAATCTATACCACAAGTGTGTCTGCTGAGGTGTGGCATGAGTAAATGGTGTCCTGTAGTTGTGTTCTGGGCATACAGAAACTCTGGATATAACGGACTGTTTTGCCAGGTCCCTTGAAGTCCATTATAACTGTACAACAGGTAAATGCAAATAGACACATGTTATTTCGTAGCGTAACCAGTGGATATAAAGCCCCCAAGAAAGCTGATACATGGAGAGATATCACCTTCTCTGTGAACGCTGTGTGCCAAATAAATCTAAATGATCTTCAAACACGCGTTCCCTTCTCAGAGCACGATTGGCAAGCTCTTCAAGAAGTAACAGAAATGCCATTTTGATAGCAAGGCCAATGCGCAGAAACAGACCTATTTATAATCTGCATGATCGCTGTTACTACCATGAAAATAATTTTTACATTATAAAATTATTTTTTATATTTTACTTTTATAAATTATTCTAATAATATCATTTTATGAACTGTAGAATGAACAAAACTGCTGTAACCGATTATTTTGAATTCAGATAAGAAAACATTGGTGAATGTCAGCATCTTCGTAAAAAACTGCGTACGTGGGGTTTAAGAACAAATTTGTTTGTAAGAACGGTTGATGAATGAAGCCCATTGTTTTTTTTTAACTTTACACATTGTTTGGATACATTTATTTTCTTACTTTACAAATTATTGTTTTGATAAATGTGCTTAGATGTGTTTAGTGCAGTATATGCTCTTCTTGTTTCATCCTGTTCATTTTGTGTTTAAATGCTGAAAAAAGAAAACATATTTAGGTGTAATTTTTTGGGGCTGGGAACCAATTAATTGCTTTTCCATTAGTTCTTATGGGAAAAATTTGATCATAACTCAAACTTTTTAGGATTCAAACCCGAGTTCTGAACGAATTTAGTTCGAGTTGTGCGGTACCACTGTACTTATTGGCCTCTCCCACACGGCTGTTTTCCTCCCCCTTCCCTGCTGGGGAGTGATTCAGGTTCACACACTAGGAGCAGTTCCCTTAATCTCAAATCAAACACAAAAAAGGCACTAACAGCAATCCCAGCAACAGCAACCCTCAGCTCTCCTACCCATTAGTTTTATCTAAATTTCACCTCCACATGGGTAGTTCATACTCAAAAACCAGCGTCGTTGAATTCAAACAATTCTGCACAAAAAAGTGTGCCAAAGTATCTCCACAATGATGCCAAAGACTGATCTCCTCATCACAACAGTTTGCAGATGTTGCTGCTAAAGGTGGGAAGAACCACATATGAAGTTTAGGGGGTAATTACCTTGTCACATGGGTGATATGGGTGTTAGTGACTTATTTTTCTTCAATGAATCACATTTTCATTTAAAAACTGTGTGTTTACTCAGTTTTTTTTACTTTTATTATACTAAATTTGTTTGGAGATCAGACACTATTAAATTTTATGGATAAGCAAAATGAGGGGCAAATACTTTGTTACGACATTGTATGGAGCAGTATGACTAATACTTTTCTCTCTACCTTTCAGCCAAGCCCCGTAAATATGTATATTTCTCAGGGACTTTTGGTCTCCCTTTCCTGAATTCTGTTGCCTTGGCTGTAGCATTAAAACTCAAAGCAGGTAAATACACTAGAACTTTGAGATGTTTCTCCTGCAATTTTACTTTTACTAGGTAAGCTTAACAAAACAGCTAAATTGTACAAACCATTTAGGAAATATATAGATTCCTGTGGTTTAATATTTGTCACTTACTGGTTATTTACTGACCACCGTTCTCAGTGGTTTTTGTGATCATGTCATTTCAGACACAGGAAAACAGCCATTGGATCTACGGCTGATTGTCCTGATTTCTGGGTCTGTCTTCCTCTTTGGCTGGTTTGTTATAGAGATGCTTGCATACTGTAAGTATAACAGAGATATGAGGCATAACTTGAATATGTGTACAGGGACTATTCCAGCATCTCCACATGCTCAGCACTTAACCTGGATGAATTTTATTTCATTAGTAACCACATTTTTATTTATTTTCCACATTGTGTGGCTCAGGGTGTAACATTTCATAACGCTGCTACTTGAATTCTTTTAAGCTTTTTGCTCTCCTTCCTTAGTGATGAATAAATGTATAAACACACACAGCAAATTTGTTAAATTAACATGGCATGGTGTTTATATAATTCTCACCAAATCAGTATTACATTTAACACTGCAATGAGTGTTTTTGTATAGTGTTAAATTTTATTAGCTCTTACAGTGTTCAGTTGACACCATAGAGTGTTAGATCACTGAAACTCCACCTCTTCCCAGATTCCACGCCCAAATAGATGGCACCCAGGTAAATAATGGGTGGCTTATATCTGGGGCAGCCAGCTACTGTGTTTGATTAACCCACCATCATAATTAAGACTATGACCAACAAGGCCTTGTTGCTTGTTATAGAAACTTTACATCGTTAGCTTTGATTTTTCTGAAAACCAGCCCACTGTGTTCTTGTAAGCTGAACACATGTTTCTTCTCTTACCTTACTTGTGCATTAAAGTTGTGATTGAGTTAGAGAAATAATGTTTAAAAATTTAATTATTAGTTTCTTTTTTGACATATAAAATAGTTTCTTTGTACCGGTATAGGAGTAAACCAATTGAGCCCTCTCCCAATCAGCTGTGGTATGAAACTGAATAAAATGTATGGTACCAGTCTTTGGGAAAACCAGTGAGAATCCAATGTGAAACAGCACTGTGCAAATTGTCATGTGTTCCTAATGACAAGGCCAAGACTGGTTATCAAACTAGCCTCTCAGCAGGAGTGTTAGTGTAAAAGCAGTGCTTATTGACACAGATAATAAAGCTTGTTAGAATGCATAACATAATTATTTAGCAGGGCTCAGAGAAGGTGAGAGCTCCCCTAGTGGCTACAGGAGTGCATTTTCCCTAAAGCAGATATAATGGTATGTCATGGATATTAGTCTCTATCACATTATCAGCATTTTGAATCCAGACCTTTTTCTATGCTTGAGTTGATACTGTATATGCCAGGTAGTCTGAGCAGTATAGTGATTATGGGAAGTAGGAGTTTTGATTGATCATAGCACACAGCCCTCTGACGTTCAAAAAAAAATCAGCACTGAGCCAAAAAAAATTTGTATATGTTAAGTAAAGGCTGAGAGGTCCTTCGTGGTCAGAATCTTTCTCGTGATGGTTGGTAAATCACGGTGGCTCTTATGATTCTCATATGAGTTCTTGTGTGCACATTAAAATAGGGCAGATAGGGGCCACCCATTATGCACCTGTGTGCCACCTATATGAGCTTGGAATCTGGGAAGAGGTGGAGTTACAATGATCTAACACTCTATGGTGTCAACTGAACACTATAAGAGCTAATAAAATGTAGAACTATAAAACAACACTCATTGCACTCTGTAAAGTGTTAAATGTAACACTGATTTGGTGAGAATTATATAAACACCATGCAGTGTTAATTTAACGCTGGCAAATTTGCTGTGCACCACCAGTGATGCAGCACATGTGCTGATGTAATACAGAAAGCCGTAGCTCTCAAAAATTGTCATTGTATAATTACTAATATGCAAGTAATTATTATTATTTATTATTACTCATATTCTCACTCATTACTTCTAAACTGGCAGCTTCATTTACTGTAACTATACTGATGTCTTACTATTAGATAATTCTATTAAAATGGTTAATTGCATCACTGTTTATATTTTTTAAATACAGGTTTGGACAAAAAAGGAAAGTAAGTAGGTATTTTTTTACGTAATAATAATAATAATATTAATAATAGAAATTCTTTTTTCATGCACTCCATCTGCTTTTCAATAACACACATGTACGTATGAGAGAGCAAGCTTGGCTGTACTGTATACAGTGTGTATTCAAGATTCAAGATCTTTATTTGTCACATGCGTAGTCATACAAGTACAACAACACAGTGAAATGTACCCTGAGCCGCTCCTTGACTGTGCAAATGTAACCCCCCTGTGGCACCGGGCGTGTTGGCTTGAACACCCGATGTAACACTGAAACTACAAATTCACCCAATACGCCTTACTAAACAGGATCCTGAGCTCCCAGCTGGTGATGTCGGACTTACTGGATTCCCTGTTCGCCAAACCTAATATTCCGATAAACTAATTAGCGCGGTGCCTCCACTGGGGGAATAATATACCGCCCAAAACCAGTGCGGTACAATAAATATTTCCCCAGAATATAGAACGTTTAAATTGCAAACCCCCCCTTTTTTAATAGGATTGTACAGAGGAAACAATTATATTTTGGAAAAGTCAACACCTTGTCACGGTAATTTCCAATCTAATTTAATATAACAAACAGCAACAACAACAACAGAAAAAAAGGGTATTAACACAAACAAGCAAAGTTACTAACTCCAAGCGAGCTAGTTACCATTTACATTTATATTAGTAGCGCTCAGACTATCGATGGGGCCCAA